GCGGGGCCGGCTGGGCGACGTGGCCGGCGAGGCAACGGGGCCGGCTAGAAGGCGGGGTCGGCTAGGAGGCGGGGCCGGCTGGGCTATGGGGCCGGCGAGGCGACGGGGCCAGCTAGGCGACGGGGCTGGTCGGACGACGAGGCCGGCTAGGCTACGGGGCCAGTCGGACGACGGGGCCGGCTAGGCAACGGGGCCGATTGGGCGATGGGGCCAGCCAGGAGGCGGGGCCGGCTAGGAGGGGGGGCCGGCTAGGAGGCGGGGCCAACTGAGCTACGGGGCCGGCTAGGACGACGGGGCCGATTGGGCGGCAGGCCCAGCTAGGTGGCTGGGCCGACGGGGTCGATTGGGTGGCGGGGCCTGCTAGGAGGCGGGGCCGGCTAGGAGGCGGGGCCGGCTAGGCGACGGGGCGGGCTGGGCTACGGGGCCAGCTAGGCGACAGGGCTGGCTAGGACACAGGCCAGCACGTGCGGAAGGGGAACGGGGCAACTAGGACCTAGGGCGGAAGCGCTAGTGGGCGGGGGGGACCTAACCTACTCATGATACCATGTTGAAGTGAAAGAAAAATTAGAACAGTGACATACCGTAATCCCCCGTATACAGCACCCGCCGAAACAGTCACTCTATGGGTGGTTTATGCGGGGAAGAGCTTATAATAGGGTGCATTTTTGTGAGCACCCCGCTTTTCTCATGTTGCATTTTACATAACCCCTGCTCGTTTTATGCAGATAGAAGCAGTACTCCGTCGTGCATTTCCAGGTCCGCTCGGTTGAAAACAATGAGCACGATAAAAAATGCAATATCAACTACTGTTAGCAGCAAAAAACAGGCAGAAGAATCAACACAAGTTGCAACGCGAAATCGAAACGTCAGGAGAGGTCGAGACTTGGGAGGATTTCGACCGTCGAAGTTGCAGATTCTATTGTGATTTGACGGTCGAATTCTTTCCGAGCGAAATCCTCAGGTCTTGACGATCGCAGGTGCGGCACAAAGCTGGCCCTGACCACCGCACTCAGCAGGGATTGGCCAACGACACCCCGAACGAACAAAATTTCGTCCCGGTGCAAGCTTGTCTCGTTAACAGCTGCTCCGCACAGTTGTGTGCACACATGGCCTAGAGCACTCAAATTCAAATTGCATTTTACAGAACACATGGGCAATATATTTTTCCGGGCCGCTGTTAACACCCACTTATTTTTGAAGTAATTTTTTATATCCACCATAGGGTGTTATATTCAGGGGATTACGGGTACAAGGGAATATAACCTAATGGGTTGTACTCTCTAAGGCACAACCCTGTATAGTCTATTACAACATACAAAGATATATTTGACAGGCACGAGGTTATATAGGGGTTGGCGTGCTAGGGCGATAACCTCGGAAAATGGGTAGGTTCGGCAATGTGGCGACAGTGCCGACCGGACGCGATGCAGGAAAGGGTTGGGCCGACAAATGAGACCGAACGTGACGAGTCGAGGAGTTCGGGTGTACGTGCTAACGTACGACTAAGGAATGGAGATTCCTTAGAGCAGATTGACGTTACACGACGTCTGTTATCATTTCATGTAGCTTTGCTCAGCGCCGCATCTCGCGGCCGACTACACACGTCAGGTTCTGCATGGACCCCAAAGCCCCAATGATCATTTGGCCTCCAATAATTGCGCTTCGACTCTCACGTTCCACCTTGCTGTAATTTCCTTCGATTGGCAGCCACGGTCGAAGAGGCCCAATTCGCCTTAGGATGAGCTCTGCCCCTTCCCTTCCCTCCCTTACCAGTTCCAACCCTTCCCTTCTCTTCCATTCCCGACTTCCTCGCTCCCCAATACCCTTCCGTGTCCGTTTTGGGCTAACTAGGCCGCATGGACGATGGAAGCATATGTCGCAGTTCCAGTTTTCGCGCTCATTTGTCAAGCGGCACGGCTGATGGTGGTAACAACTTCCAGTTGAACTTCAAATGTGCCTGAAGTGTAACTTGGATGTTCAATTGGACGCTGAAGCGTGGCGCGTGCAAAAGTTGGTGCATCTGCAATCTTTGAAGGAGCTACCATAGCGCGCATTCGAAGGAGCTCAACTCCAGCCAGACACGGAAGTTGCCGGGAGTCCGCCAGTTTCTCAAATTCAAGCCCCTCCGCTTTTCCGGTGAGCACAAAAGATCGTCTGCAGACTCATCAGTGCACCCGTCAGTAGTTACTAGTAACGATGAATCATTTGAAGGTAAGTGTGGAATAAGAGAATGTTCGACAGGATAATCGTAACATCAGCCGACCACTACTGGTACTAGTACTAACCTCGCTAGACCTGCTTAACTACCCCGATTGAATGTCGCCACTGCGCACTATTTACGCCCACACGCACACGCACACGCAGACGCGGATCCACACGCACACGCATGATAAATAGCCGCTAGACTACTACTAGAACTACTACATGCAGCTATCTGGAATTACCCAAAACCATATCCAACCCTCAAGTCTGAAAAGCGTCACGCCTTGACACACTGATGAGGCTTCCCCTCCGCCGCTTTGTACCCATTCGCACACCTGCACTTGAACCGGCTCCCACCCGCCGGAACGCACACGCCGTGTCCCGAGCACGGACCGTTTGTTCTACTCGTCCCACAAAATCTTCTACACGCTGCTCCACTCCGTTGCTGTTTCATGTTACAGTTGCCGCTCTTACCGAGGCAGTTCAGCGCAGCAAAATACTCGTCGTCCGAGTCGGGGTACTTCTGCCCCTCCTGAGGACACACTTTTCGATTGTCCATGACGAACTCTGGGCTGCCCCAGAAATAATTTCCGCGGATGTCTACTCGCGGCTCCTCCTCTCCTCCCATGAACCCTAGATTCGGCATGGACCCGGAGAAGAGATTGAAGGAAATGTTGAAATTTGCCACGCCGCTCTTTCGAAACGCATCTGCGGGAATCTCTCCGACGAACGCGTTGCGCTGGAGACTCAGGTGCTCGATTGCCTGGGCGGTTTTCATATACGCCCAGGGAAACTCGCCTCTTAGCCTGTTGAACGAAAGGTCTAAGTAATGGAGATTCGGCATGTTTCGCAGTAGAGCCACTGGGACTTTTCCGCTCAGCCTGTTTCCAGCCAATTTCAAACCCGCTAGCTTCTTCATCTGCCCGAACTGCTCAGGAACACTGCCCGAAATAATATTCCAACTAAGGTCGATGTCTGTCAGAGACGGATGGGTCGCAAGGGCGGCGATAGACGAAGCAGTGAACCGATTATTACGCAGATCCAGGTCCTCGAGGCTCTTTATATCGAGTATTTCTTTTGTAGGGAGCGCACCCGAAAGCCTATTATTCCCAAGATTCAGTGTCGTGAGGCGCTTTATTTCCGCGAGGGTCGGTGGAATCGATCCCGTTAATCTATTCCCGCCCATCTCGAGCGAGACGAGATTCCTCAAGCCGGACAATTCCCGAGGGATTTCTCCCGTGAGACGGTTTCCGTCTAGGTTTAAGTACACGAGGCGACTCAGCCGCGAAAGCCCACGCGGAATGCTCCCCGTGAGCCGCGTTCCGAGGAGCATAAGGCTCGTCAGGCTGCGGGCGAAATTCCCGATGGAATTTGGCAGGGCCCCGGAAAGGCCGCTATTTCGGCCTCCATTGAAATCCGTGCGGATCTCTAGAGATTCGAGCTTCTGCAGATTCGAGAGGCTCTTGGGCAAGCTGCCGTAGATGCGCCAGTTGTCGGATATAGTAATCGACGTCAGCTCCGTCAGGTTCCCGACGGATTCCGTCAACGCGCCGGTGCAGGAGTTCTCGCCGTAGATGTACAGCTGGAAAACCGCACCGCGATCGTCGCAACTGATGCCGGACCATTTTGAGCAGTCGGCGCCCGCCACCCATGTCTTGGTCACCGGACAGCTGCGCCACGCGGTTTTCAGGGAAATTAGTGCACTTTCTTGCGAGGGGAGGAGGGGAACGGCGTTGGAGGGGAGAATAGCGGAGGCGAGGAGTGGGACGAGGCTGAAGAGCGCGAGAAAGGAAGATTTCATTCTCGGTGGCTGGTTTTAAAGACGTTATGATGATGATGCTGCTGAAAAAATAAACCCAATTCAAGAATCGAGGGCTTGATACTACTTCCAGGTATTGCAGTGAGGCCAAGAGAAGCTGTGTGAAGAGGACAACTTCGCGCTGCTGGGAAACGAGCGAGCTATGGTGCTTTATACCTGCCTTTCTCACGTCTGTGGAGTAGGCAATTCTGACCTTCGACTACGTTGAAACCCGCTGGCTGGAAGCGAAGTGCCCCCGAGGGGATTGAAACGGGTCTTCATCCGATGGAAGGGCGCACTCATTAATTGACAGCGCGTCCAGCCAAGACCTTCATTTCGCTCCGCGGGACAGCAGAAGAACCCCTCTCGGCTAGTCTTGAACATGGTACACTCTGGAAGAACGTTCATTTCTCCAAGTGGGTACGAGGTCTCGAACACGGCAGCCCACCAACGAAGCAAAATGTCACGGCACGTCGAGGTTGCTTGCAACTTCGTGAAGGCAGTCGTCAATCGCGAAATTGCGGTTCGCGAATGTTACTTGTAGTGCTGCCACGTGGTACACTTGCGGAGCGGAAATCGTCGCCAGCACATCCACCCTCCCCTACCCCGCTTCAACACGCAGACACCAGCGACAGCGCGGCTGGCGCAGCTGACGCGCGGAACCGCCAGGAGCTTGAGGGCGTGGCACATTAGCGAACCGCATTAAAAACCGAGTTTGGGGACCGAGCCCAGCCTGCCCAGTGGTCCATCACACAGGTGAAACCTGGCTAGGAACGCAGGGAAGGCGGTTCGGCGACCGGGGCAATTTGCCCATTTGGGGTTCGGTCCTCAATTGGCGATGCTCATTCTTTGTTGTCACCTCGCGATGTAATACCGAGACACGCCTCGCGTTTTGGGCGTGGTTCGAGTGTATTGCCGGGACCGGGAATGGGGTTCGGTATTCTTTTGGCTAATGTTCCACGCCCTAGGAGCCACCAGCTCACCAGCACGTGACGTGCAATAGCGAGAATAAAATTTAATCAAATAACCTGCTGGTACACTCCAGAGCATAGAATTGCGGAAGCTCCATACACCAGTTTGTCATGAGCATTTCCGTCTCGAGACTTTCCACATCCCTTGTAATCCTACAGTCATTCTGTTATGTGCCACATGCTGCTACTGTAGCCAGCTGCTCAGCGATTCTGGTGGGATCAAATTGGATGCATTACGCCAGTAGTCTCATTCAGCTCACTCAGCGGGACTGGTGGAAGTATGACCAACTGCACTGGGAGAAGCAGTGGGAGCAGCCGGAGGAGCAGCAGCAGCAGCAGCACCCATCTACTCCTTGGGCGCCTCAATAGTAACCACACTACTGCCCTTGCCTGGGCTGGTGGAAATAGGGCCAACCACCCCCCCACCAATAGGAGCAGCAGCAGCAGATGTGAGGATGGAGGTAGTGGAGGAGGAGGAGAGCAAGTGAGGGACGTCGGTGACAAAGAGAGACACCATCACCAGCATTATGCCCTGGAGAAGGGGTTGGAGGGGGTGGGGGGGGAGGGGAGCGGGGACGAAGGTAGTGGAAAGGGGTGTGGAGTAGGGGGGGAGGAAGAGGAGAGCAAGTGAGGGGCATCGGAGAGAGAGAGGGATACCTTCACCACCACCATTGCCATCAGTACTGTCACTTTCGTTTAAGGGTGGTTTGATTTGATCTGCAAGCAGGGCAGGGCAGAAGGGAAGAGGTGTGGCGGCGTGGATGGCAGGGCAGACAAGTGTTGCCTGAGTGACCTGAGGAGTCTATTTTTTAGGCGCCTCAAAGGAAGAGGCGTGGCATCGCGTGACCTGACCTGCTCCTGTCCCACTCAGGTGAAACGAGCAGGGCAGGACGCAGAAGCGTTGCGATTTGGCCCAAAACACACGAGGGCAGGACACTATTTTTGAACTGCCCCAGATTCAACAGATGCTAAGTTTGGAGGGAAGTAGAGCAGGGAATGACTCAGGAGGAGGTGATTAGGCGGCAGGAGCCTTACCACGGCAGTGAGGGCTCTATGATTGAGGCAGTGAAGAAGATGTGAGACACAGAGAGAGGGGCTTACCAAGGCAGTGAGGGCTTGAGGGCTTACCACGGCAGTGAGGGCTTGGAGCTTACCACGGCAGTGAGGGCTTGGAGCTTACCACGGCAGTGAGGGCTTGGAGCTTACCACGGCAGGGAGGGCTTGGAGCTTACCACGGCAGTGAGGGCTTGGAGCTAACCACGGCAGCGAGGGCTTGGAGCTTACCACGGCATGAGGGCTTGGAGCTTACCACGGCAGTGAGGGCTTGGAGCTTACCACGGCAGTGAGGAGTTGCGGTACTTTCCAGAGTGGGGCGAAGGGTTCCAATGGGAAGAGAAGGAGGATCATGATGATCTGAAGGGTGGGGGGAAAGGGGGGTTTGGATGGGGAGAAGACGGTTGGCTGTGACAGACAGGCCGGCAGACAGACAAAGGGATATGAAGCACCTTCCCTAGTGGGGAAAAGGGGGTCCATGGGGAAAAGGGGGTCCATGGGGACGAGAACGAGGATAGTGCTGACCTAAATGGTGGGGGACAGAGAGGGAGTGGAAGAGGGGCAAGCATAGTGGCAGAGAGGCAGAGAGGAAGAGAGGCAGAGAGGCAGAGAGGCAGAGAGGCAGAGAGGAAGAGAGAGGCAGAGAGGCAGAGAGGCAGAGAGGCAGAGAGGCAGAGAGGCAGAGAGGCAGAGAGGAAGAGAGGCAGAGAGGCAGAGAGGCAGAGAGGCAAAGAGGCAGAGAGGCAGAGAGGAAGAGAGGCAGAGAGGCAGAGAGGCAGAGAGGCAGAGAGGCAGAGAGGCAGAGAGGCAGAGATGCACAGATGCAGAGAGGAAGAAAGGCAGAGAGGCAGAGAGGCAGAGAGGCAGAGAGGCGCAGAGAGGCGCAGAGAGGCAGAGAGAGGCAGAGAAGCAGAGAGGCAGAGAGGCAGAGAGGCAGAGAGGAAGAGAGGAAGAGAGGCAGAGAGGCAGAGAGGAAGAGAGAGGCAGAGAGGAAGAGAGGAAGAGTGGCAGAGGCAGAGAGGCAGAGAGGCAGAGAGGAAGAGAGAGGCAGAGAGAGGCAGAGAGGCAGAGAGGCAGAGAGGCAGAGAGGCAGAGAGGCGCAGAGAGGCAGAGAGGCATAGAGGCAGAGATGCAGAGAGGAAGAGAGAGGAAGAGAGGCAGAGAGGCAGAAAGGCAGAGAGGCAGAGAGGAAGAGAGGCAGAGAGGCAGAGAGGCAGAGAGGCAGAGAGGCAGAGAGGCAGAGGCAGAGAGGCAGGGAGGCAGAGAGGCAGGGAGGCCAGAGAGGAAGAGAGGCAGAGAGGCAGAGAGGAAGAGAGGAAGAGAGGAAGAGAGGCAGAGAGGCAGAGAGGCAGAGAGGAAGAGAGGCAGAAGAGGCAGAGAGGCAGAGGAGGCAGAGAGGCAGAGAGGCAGAGAGGCAGAGAGGCAAGAGAGGCAGAGAGGCAGAGAGGCAGGGAGGCAGAGAGGAAGAGAGGAAGAGAGGAAGAGAGGCAGAGAGGCAGAGAGGCAGAGAGGCAGAGAGGCAGAGAGGCGAGAGGCAGAGAGGCAGAGAGGCAGAGAGGCAGAGAGGCAGAGAGGCAGAGAGGCAGAGAGGCAGAGAGGCAGAGAGGCGAGAGGCAGAGAGGCAGAGAGGCAGAGAGGCAGAGCGGCAGAGCGGCAGAGAGGCAGAAGAGGCAGAGAGGCAGAGAGGCAGAGAGGCAGAGAGGCAGAGAGGCAGAGAGGCGGAGAGGCAGAGCGGCAGAGCAGAGAGGCAGAGAGGCAGAGAGGCAGAGAGGCAGAGAGCAAGAGAGGCAGAGAGGCAGAGAGGCAGAGAGGAGAGGCCAGAAGAGGCAGAAGGCAGAGAGGCAGAGAGCAGAGAGGCAAGAGAGAGGCAGAGAGGCAGAGAGCAGAGAGGCAGAGAGGCAGAGAGGCAGAGCAGAGAGCAGAGAGGCAGAGAGGCAGAGAGGCAGAGAGGCAGAGAGGCAGAGAGCAGAGAGGCAGAGAGGCAGAGAGGCAGAGAGGCAGAGAGGCAGAGAGGCAGAGAGGCAGAGAGGCAGAGAAGGCAGAGAGGCAGAGAGGCAGAGAGGGCAGAGAGGCAGGGCAGAGAGGCAGAGAGGCAGAGAAGGCAGAGAGGCAGAGAGGCAGAGAGGCAGAGAGGCAGAGAGGCAGAGAGGCAGAGAGGCAGAGAGGCAGAGAGGCAGAGAGGCAGAGAGGCAGAGAGGCAGAGCGGCAGAGGCAGAGGCAGAGAGGCAGAGAGGCAGAGAGGCAGAGAGGCAGAGAGGCAGAGAGGCAGAGAGGCAGAGAGAGGCAGAGAGGCAGAGAGGCAGAGAGGCAGAGAGGCAGAGAGGCAGAGAGGGCAGAGAGGGCAGAGAGGCAGAGAGGCAGAGAGGCAGAGAGGCCAGAGAGGCAGAACAGAGAGGCAGAGAGGCAGAGAGGCAGAGAGGCAGAGAGGCAGAGAGGCAGAGAGGCAGAGAGGCAGAGAGGCAGAGAGGCAGAGAGGCAGAGAGGCAGAGAGGCAGAGAGGCAGAGAGGCAGAGGAGGCAGAGAGGCAGAGAGAGAGAGGCAGAGAGGCAGAGAGGCAGAGCGGCAGAGCGGCAGAGAGGCAGAGAGGCAGAGAGGCAGAGAGGCAGAGAGGCAGAGAGGCAGAGAGGCAGAGAGGCAGAGAGGCAGAGAGGCAGAGAGGCAGAGAGGCAGAGCAGCAGAGCGGCAGAGAGGAGAGAGGCAGAGAGAGCAGAGAGGCAGAGAGGCAGAGAGGCAGAGAGGCAGAGAGGCAGAGAGGCAGAGAGGCAGAGAGGCAGAGAGGCAGAGAGGCAGAGAGGCAGAGAGGCAGAGAGGCAGAGAGGCAGAGAGGCAGAGAGGCAGAGAGGCAGAGAGGCAAAGAGGCAGAGAGGCAGAGAGGCAGAGAGGCAGAGAGGCAGAGAGGCAGAGAGGCAGAGAGGCAGAGAGGCAGAGAGGCAGAGAGGCAGAGAGGCAGAGAGGCAGAGAGGCAGAGAGGCAGAGAGGCAGAGAGGCAGAGCGCAGAACGGCAGAGAGGCAGAGAGGCAGAGAGCAGAGAGGCAGAGAGGCAGAGAGGCAGAGAGGCAGAGAGGCAGAGAGGCAGAGAGGCAGAGAGGCAGAGCGGCAGAGCGGCAGAGAGGCAGAGAGGCAGAGAGGCAGAGAGGCAGAGAGGCAGAGAGGCAGAGAGGCAGAGAGGCAGAGAGGCAGAGTGGCAGAGAGGCAGAGAGGCAGAGAGGCAGAGAGGCAGAGAGGCAGAGAGGCAGAGAGGCAGAGAGGCAGAGCGGGGCAGAGGGCAGAGGGGAGGGCAGAGAGGCAGAGAGGCAGAGAGGCAGAGAGAGAAAGAGAGGCAGAGAGGCAGAGAGGCAGAGAGGCAGAGAGGCAGAGAGGCAGAGAGGCAGGGAGGCAGAGAGGCAGGGAGGCAGGGAGGCAGAGAGGCAGTGAGGCAGAGAGGCAGAGAGGAAGAGAGGAAGAGAGGCAGAGAGGCAGAGAGACAGAGAGGAAGAGAGGAGAAGAGGCAGAGAGGCAGAGAGGCAGAGAGGCAGAGAGGCAGAGAGGCAGAGAGGCAGAGAGGCAGAGAGGCAGAGAGGCAGGGAGGCAGAGAGGAAGAGAGGAAGAGAGGAAGAGAGGCAGAGAGGCAGAGAGGCAGAGAGGCAGAGAGGCAGAGAGGCAGAGAGGCAGAGAGGCAGAGAGGCAGAGAGGCAGAGAGGCAGAGAGGCAGAGAGGCAGAGAGGCAGAGAGGCAGAGAGGCAGAGAGGCAGAGAGGCAGAGAGGCAGAGAGGCAGAGAGCAGAGAGGCAGAGAGGCAGAGAGGCAGAGAGGCAGAGAAGCAGGAGGCAGAGAGGCAGAGAGGAAGAGAGGAAGAGAGGCAGAGAGGCAGAGAGCAGAGAGGCAGAGAGGCAGAGAGGCAGAGAGGCAGAGAGGCAGAGAGGCAGAGAGGCAGAGAGGAAGAGGGGAAGAGAGGCAGAGAGGCAGAGAGGCAGAGAGGCAGAGAGGCAGAGAGGCAGAGAGGCAGGGAGGCAGAGAGGCAGGGAGGCAGAGAGGCAGAGAGGCAGAGAGGCAGAGAGGAGAGAGGAAGGAGGAAGAGAGGCAGAGAGGCAGAGAGGCAGAGAGGCAGAGAGGCAGAGAGGCAGAGAGGCAGGAGGCAGAGAGGCAGGAGGCAGAGAGGCAGAGAGGCAGAGAGGCAGAGAGGAAGAGAGGAAGTGAGGAAGAGAGGCAGAGAGGCAGAGAGGCAGAAGGAAGAGAGGAGAAGAGGCAGAGAGGCAGAGAGGCAGAGAGGCAGAGAGGCAGAGAGGAAGAGAGGAAGAAGGCAGAGAGGCAGAGAGGCAGAGAGGCAGAGAGGCAGAGAGGCAGACAGGCAGGGAGGCAGAGAGGCAGGGAGGCAGAGAGGCAGAGAGGCAGTGAGAAGAGAGGAGAGAGGAAGAGAGGCAGAGAGGCAGAGAGCAGAGAGGAAGGAGGAGAAGAGGCAGAGAGGCAGAGAGGCAGAGAGGCAGAGAGGCAGAGAGGCAGAGAGGCAGGAGGCAGAGAGGAAGAGAGGAAGAGAGGAAGAGAGGCAGAGAAGCAGAGAGGCAGAGAGGCAGAGGGCAGAGAGGCAGAGAGGCAGAGAGGCAGAGAGGCAGAGAGGCAGAGAGGCAGAGAGGCAGAGAGGCAGAGAGGCAGAGAGGCAGAGAGGCAGAGAGGCAGAGAGGCAGAGAGGCAGAGAGGCAGAGAGGCAGAGAGGCAGAGAGGCAGAGAGGCAGAGAGGCAGAGAGGCAGAGAGGCAGGGAGGCAGAGAGGAAGAGAGGAAGAGGGAGAGAGGCAGAGAGGCAGAGAGGCAGAGAGGCAGAGAGGCAGAGAGGCAGAGAGGCAGAGAGGCAGAGAGGAAGAGAGGAAGAGAGGCAGAGAGGCAGAGAGGCAGAGAGGCAGAGAGGCAGAGAGGCAGAGAGGCAGGGAGGCAGAGAGGCAGGGAGGCAGAGAGGCAGAGAGGCAGAGAGGCAGAGAGGAAGAGAGGAAGTGAGGAAGAGAGGCAGAGAGGCAGAGAGGCAGAGAGGAAGAGAGGAGAAGAGGCAGAGAGGCAGAGAGGCAGAGAGGCAGAGAGGCAGAGAGGAGAGAGGCAGAGAGGCAGAGAGGCAGAGAGGCAGAGAGGCAGGGAGGCAGAGAGGAAGAGAGGAAGGAGGAAGAGAGCAGAGACAGAGAGGCAGAGAGGCAGAGAGGCAGAGAGGCAGAGAGGCAGAGAGGCAGAGAGGCAGAGAGGCAGAGAGGCAGAGAGGCAGAGAGGCAGAGAGCGGCAGAGCGGCAGAGAGGCAGAGAGGCAGAGAGGCAGAGAGGCAGAGAGGCAGAGAGGCAGAGCGGCAGAGAGGCAGAGAGGCAGAGAGGCAGAGAGGCAGAGCGGCAGAAAGGCAGAGAGGCAGAGAGGCAGAG